GGGGGGGAGAGGGGGGGGGTGTCTGTGCATCCACCCCGTCATCCCCGGGGGTGCAAAACCTTGCTCCGAGTTTGGCACCCTGCGGTGTGTGAGCCCACCTGGGCATCCCCGGGGGTGCGCACCCGGTCTGGATCCAGAACCCCAGGGTGGGCACCCATGCACCCACCTGGGCATCCCGTGGGGTGGGCACCCTGTCTGGATCCAGTACTCCGGGGGGTTCAAGCTCTGTCTGGAGCCAGTACCTCAGCGTGGGCACCCATGCACCCACCTGGGCATCCCGTGGGGCGCAAACCCCGTCCGGACCCAGTATCCCGGGGGTGGGCACGCTGTCTGGATCCAGTACCTCAGGGTGGGCACCCATGCACCCACCCGGGCATCCCGTGGGGTGGGCACCCTGTCTGGATCCAGTGCCCCAGAGGGTTCAAACCCTGTCTGGACCCAGTACCCCAGGGTGGGCACCCATCGGCCATCCCTTGGGGGTACACACCCTGCCCAGATGGGGACCCGTGCACCCTCCCTGCCACTCCATGGGGTGTAAGCCCTGCCCGGGTCTGGTCCCAGCACCCTGGGGTGGGTGCATCCTCCTGGTAGCCCCGTGGGATACAAGTGGGTCCCCTGGGTGGGCACCTGTGCACCCCCATAGCCACACTGTGGGGTGCAAAGCCTGCCCCGGGTCCAGCACCCTGAGACAACACCCACCAGGCTGCCTTGTGGGGTGTAAAGCCTGATGGGGTCCCGCACCCCAGGGAGCAGGCACCCATGCACCCACCCTGCCACCCCGTGGGGTGCAGACCCCAGCTGTGCCCCCCGCTCTGGGTGCATGCAGCCACTCGGCCACCTCTCAGGGTGCAAAGCCTGACGGTGTCCTGCACCCCCGGGACAGACACCCCCATGCACACCCACCCACCCTTTGGGTGCAAACGCTGCTGGGATGCAAACTCCTCGTGCTGCCGGTGCCAGGGATCCCTGGATACTGTGAAAGGGGGGACCCCCAAATTTTCCTGGCCTGCCCCCAAACTCACTATAGCCCACCCCAGTATTGCACGGCTGGGCTCTGTGTGTGTGTGTGTGTGTGTGTATTTCTACTCTTTCTTTTTTGGGGATCACAATCCATTTTGAATACCCTTTTGTTTCCCACTCCCCATCCACTATTTCCCCCTTCTCCCAATCCCCATTTTTTTATGTGAAACCAAGAGGGCAAACAGAAATAACCAGCCCAGACAGCCTGAGAAAGAGCTGCCCACATTGCAACACAGCCTCGCTGTCCAGTCTCTTACCCAAAGTTTGTGTTTCCCTGGACAGTTTTGTGGTGTTTTGTTTGGTGGTTTGGGTTTTCGCGTTGCTGCTTTGCCATGCAGCAGCTTGGCTTGTTAGTGTTATTTCTGCTGTCTCTTTGGCAATGGGAAGGCATCAAATGCTTTGATCTGTATCCTTATTTCTCCCCCGACCCTGAGGAACAGCCTGGGGTAGCCTCACCATGGGATACAACCCCCCCCAGTCCCGGCGCTGCTTCTCTGTCCTGTGTCTTGGGGACATTTTGTGTATCTCAAACAGGGAGCAGCAAGTTCTTGGCACCCGGGTCTCCGTACACACCGGTACAAGTCCTGGCAGGGCACAGGCTGGGACACATCCAGGGATGCCACGTCCTGACCCGCTGCTCAGCCGGGCATGGCCTTGACCATCCCCACTCAGCAGCCGGGTTCTCCATCCCAGAGAGGAATTGCACGATCAGGCCATGGAGCTGGGGGAGTTTATTTGCCCTGATTTATTTACAGCAGGACTCAGCTAACCCTGAACCCACCACGTTTGGAGACTTGGGATGGGAGGAGTTGGTGGACCTAGGGTGGTTTCAGGACCCCCCTTCTCGACCCTCCCGCTGCCGTCTCATCCTCCTGAGGGGTTTTCAGGCTGCGTCCTCCGTGTTTGGATATTGGGAGCCCCAACCTTGACTTGGGTTGGGTTCCTGTGAGCTTTGGGAGGCAGCCCCCTTTCTCCCCCTGCCCCGATACGGCCACCGTGGGCGCTCAGGGGAGTTTCGTTCTCCATTTCAGGCAAGTCCTGGAAGGCTCTGAGCCTCTCGCAGAAGCGTCCCTACGTGGAGGAGGCCGAGCGGCTGCGCGTGAAGCACATGCAAGATTACCCCAACTACAAATACCGGCCCCGGCGGAAGAAGCAGGTCAAGCGGATCTGCAAGCGGGTGGACCCCGGGTTTTTGCTGGGCAGCCTGACGCGGGACCAAAATGCGGTGCCGGAGAAGCGGACCTGCAGCCGGGCTGGGGGGGACAAAGAGGGGCCGGGTGAGTACCCGCCTCGCCCAGGGCTGCCAGCTGTCCGAGCATACCGGGAGCCCCCGGGCAGCAGCAGCAGCACCAGCGTGGACACCTACCCCTACGGGCTGCCCACCCCTCCGGAGATGTCTCCTCTGGACGCCATAGACCCCGAGCAGAGCTTCTTCTCCTCGCCCTGCCCCGACGAGCATCACCGCTCCCACCTCACTGGAGCCACCTACTCCCCGGAGTATGCGGGCAGCTCCCTCCCGTGCAACCACCACCCTCTCAGCCCCATGCCACAGCCGACCACCTGCATGATCCCCCCGGCCTCCAGCTGCCCTCCCCTTCCTCCTCCTCCTCCTCCCAGCTACTACACACCTGCCTTCCCCTCCCTGCACCCTCCTAGCCTCCACGCCCATCTGGGCCAGCTCTCTCCGCCACCCGACCACCACAGCTTTGACACCTTGGACCAACTGAGCCAAGCCGAGCTTCTGGGGGAGATGGACCGCAACGAGTTCGACCAGTATCTCAACAATCCCGGCCACAGCGACCACCACGGCGGGGTCTTGGTCAACGGACACGTCCCAGCATCTGGCAGCTCCCACGCCTCCGAGACCAGCCTCATCTCTGTCCTGGCCGATGCCACGGCCACTTACTACAATAACTACAGTGTCTCCTAGAACCCCGGCCAGGGCCGCCTGGACCGGCCGAGGAAGGACCCGACGCAGTATTACGAGGCGTTGCTCACCGGGGACATCGCTCACCGCCCCTTAGGGTGACCGCGTCCGAACCGTGAGGACCGTGGAGTCTCCTGGGTGGTGTAGATAAAGGATTTCAGTCATTGCCTCACCACCAGCGCAAAGCCTCGGGTGCTCTGCTCCAAACAGGGCCGGGGGGATTTCTCAATGCCAAAGCCCTTTGGCCAAGTCCCTCTTCCAAAGCAGAGATGCTCCTGGGGGCACCTCCAGCTCTGCTTTGGAGTCGAGAGGGTGGCAGCATCCCGTAAACAGCAGGGGCAAACCCCCCTGGAGGGGGAAAAGGCAGGGCTGGGGGGAAAAGGGAAGATTTTGGTAAAGGGGCACATGCTCTGCAAGCGTGCTTTGCTCTCAGCTCCCAGCATCGGCGTTGCTGAGGCCACCCTGACCTGCCTGCCTGCCCCGGCAGGGGTTAAACCCCCCCATCCCCTGCCCCCAGACCAGGAGTTGGGAGCTTCATCCCTCAGGACATCCAGAGGGGACAGATGGGACACCAGGGATGATTAGTGGGACACACACCAGGGATGCTGCCAGACTGGCCCCAGGGATGCACGGGGAGGGATGGGGCTGCCGGGGGGCCGCCAGCCCCGAGGGTGCTCAGCCTGTGTGTTCTGGAGGAGGGTAGGATCAGGGCTTGGAAAAGCAGGATGCGGCGGGCATCCACGCCTCCCATGGCTTCCCCTCGGCCTCCCAGCAAAAACGCTCCCGAAGGGCTGGGAACGGGTCCTGGGATGAGCATTTTGGCAAAGAGGTGATGATGTAGCAGACACGTTTTTTTTTAATCAAACGTCCTTTGAAGGCAAATGCTTCACGTTTCGAGCTGCAGTGCCCAATGCCTCTTCTAACTCCGGCGTATTATTGCTTGTAATAAAGCTGTACATTGATTTATTCCTTCCATTATTCCTCCCCTCGGATTTTGTATTGCTCGAGTTCTCTTCCTTTTCATAAAGATGAAGCTTTATTTTAAATCAGTTATATGACATGATTAATCTTAGTGTTTACTGTATGGCACTTGGTAATGATTAGTTAGTAGCGTGGCTATGATTTTTCTGGTTTCAGTCCCGAACATGTATTAATAATAATTGCAAATAATACTTAAAAAGACCCACAACTTCACAGGTTTTTAAGCTAATACATTCCATCTTTTTTTGTGTGACTCTATGCATTTTGAATGAGTGTAGATATGAGTTTGCATAAAATATTTAATTTAAATAAATATGTTTTTATACGGTGATTGTTCTATGATTTAAATTGCTGTAGCTATTGACAAAGTTTTCAAAACAGAAACATTTCCTGTGCGAGTGCTATTTTTTTAATTTTTTTGTTTGTTTGTTGGTATTTTCAGCCAAACTTTTCTACTTCCATTTTTTTTTTTTTTTAATAAAAAAGATCTGTGGTTATCTTCACAAATCGTGGACTGCTTTCTAACAAACCGACTCGAGGCATGATGTGTGCCTACCTTCACTTTTCATGGTGTGTCCCGGGAGCGGCAAGTCACTCTGATGGCCTTGATCCTGCTTTTGCCGTCTCATTCGTGTGGCCTTTTAGTGCCAGGTCCTGTGCAGATCTTACAGTGAAGTTAGGGCAGAGCTTTGCCGTTGGCATGTTAGTGAGCACAAAGAATGTTGCCTATTTATGGAGCGAGTGCCAATGCCTGGAGCACGGTTTTTATTCACATTTAAGGCTGTTTTACACGGTTTGTGCTGATGCACAGTTTAAGTGGCTCCGCAGCATGAGGGCCACGTGAAGGGTCCTCGGTGCAAATGCAGATCAAGGCAATGGGGCCTGAGAAACGGAGTGTGGGTCAAATCCGGGGAGCTGCATCAAGGGCACTCTTGTAGCTGGATGTTGAGTAGTGTCCTTCAGGCATCGCTAGCAAAGAGAAAAGCTTAGTCCTTGTGGTCCATGGACCGACATCACAGCCTGCTCTTGCCAGACATTAAAATTAGGCTGTGTCCCCATGATCCTTCAGGTTAAGCCATGCACACCCCACAAAGCAGTGTCCTCCCAGGTGGTGTCCTCCTGCTTGGCCCTAAAAGTGGAGGAGCGAGTTTCCTGATGTACTTTGTGATGCCAACCTATGGGTGTTGGCTGGAAGGGTCTCCAGAGGTCACTCACCCAATCCAACACAACTGGGCTGTCTGTCCTCCATTAAATGTCTTATCTTGGACTCAAGGAGACCATGGAAGGCTACATGAATATCTGGGGAGGCACCAACATGCTGCTGTCCTGTGTTTATGTTCCTCCTTCATCCACCGCTTGTGGCCCCCTGGTGACAGCCCTCCCATCACAGAATCATCTGGGTTGGAAAAGCCCTTGCAGCTCCTCCAGCACACCATGACCCTCCCCCTGACCGTTCCCAACTCCCCCAGACCCCTCAGCGCTGGCTCAGCCCGACTCTTCAACCCCTCCAGGGATCCCGGGGACTCCCCCCTGCCCTGGGCAGCCCATTCCAACGCCCAACAGCCCCTTCTGCACAGAAATCCTTCCTCAGAGCCAGCCTGACCCTGCCCTGGGCAGCTTGAGGCCATTCCCTCGGGGCCTGGCGCTGGCTCCTTGGCTCCAGAGACTCATCCCCCCTCTCTGCCCCCTCCTGGCAGGGAGTTGCCGAGGGCCAGGAGGTCTCCCCTCAGCCTC